ACTATCATATATATGTCTTTGGTTAATGAGTGCCAAGAGAGCAAAGAAGGGAAGAGATTGTCAAAGCGTTAAAACACGCCAACGCCAGGGAACGGCTGGCATCGTCCGGGCGTTAAAACACGCCCGCGCCAGTCAGAGAGTTAAACACAAGATAATATTAACAAAATGAAGGGCTGTGCATAGCCACGCCATAACTCAAGCGGTTAGGTGCTGGCTTCCCACTGCAGCGGTCCGGGTTCAATCCCAGGTCTGGTCAAGTGGGATTTGTGGTGGACAAAGTGGCACTGGGGAGGGTTTTCTCTGAGTACTTCAGTTTCCCCTGCCAATCTTTATTCCACCAAATTCTCCATCATCATAATCACCCGAGGCAGGCTACAATAGGCCAATCAGTGGCCGCCGTGCCAAGTGGACTCAGTTGGACTCCACACCCCACTAAGCGAAAAGGGGGGGAGGGCAGTGGATTCTACTAACCTGCATCAAGAGTTGCAGGAAGATCAACTAGCCATTCACCTTACAGGTTAACAAAATTATAAACTAGTTTTCTGAAGTATAATGCAAAGGTAAAGATGTTGTCCTTGTCCTTACTGAAGTACAATACTATGAGTGGTCAGCTTCTCACCCTAGCAGCATTACCTCCAGTACAAGACCCCCTACTACCCATCAGACAGAAGGCTGGGTAGGTCCCACAGCACGTCTGCATGCTAAGAAGAGAAAAATCTCATCCCCACCAGGAATCTAACTTCGGCTGTTTGGTCATCTGGCCATAGCCTGGTCATTAGACTGACTGAGCTACCATAAACCTAAACCATTTATGAATCAAATAAAATGCCACCGAAAAGATCTGCCCTTGGAAATAAAATTCTACCAAAGTTCTTCAATACACTCCAAGAGAGCTGTTCTTGTTGAAGAAATGTTGCACAACTTCAGCTACCAACTGAAGGGATGCAGTTGGAAACAGAAATATTTTTTACTGGTAATTCCTCACTCATTTCGAATATTTGTGTTTAATACCTCTAGTATTGTCCTTTAATCTTCCTTGCCTCAGTTCACATGCCAAAGATGAAGGAATTCATTTCTGATGTGGCAGCACGTACAGAGGGCTGTTCAGCTTTTAATCTTTAATTATTCTGATGGCACCTCCATCTAGTGCTGGGGTCCATTAAGCTTAATACTCACATCTAAATTCGAAAACACTGTCATCAACATGTTTGGAACAAGATCTTCCATCTGGTAGAAGTCTCTACCAAGACTTGGGCCCATGTTCCCCAGTATATGATATGTAGTGTCATGGACCATTGTCAGAAAATGCTGCATGCGTTCCAGTGGTGTTTGGGCCCTTGGATGAGAAACATCTATATGATCCACAAATGATGCACTGCAAGGGGTTCCAAGAACATTCGATCTCTCCACTTCCAACATCATATGTGCTCCACGATAACCCTACATCCAAAGAAAAGAATGATCTTAAAACAAAGTTAGAGCTGATCAATACAACATAACAAAGTACAGATTCTAAAATTTGGAGAAAATTTCAATGAATGTATGACATTCAGAATTTAAGGCATCAGAATTCTTACTTGTGAAAGTCAATTTTCTTACACTCTTTCGCAAAAGAAAAAAATCAAGTGCTATTCTGTAATGTATGGCAACACACATAACAGTAAGGATGAATGGTTGTTTAGTTTATAAAAATTATCTAACTTATTTACTGTAATTCAGAAGAATACTAAAACCTATGTCACACAAATGCAGTTTAGCAAGACTCACTTCTGAGAGAGCAGAAAGAGCATCTGGTGTCCATAGTCCATTAAAAACTTTAAGCAGTGTCAGGAAATGTGGGACGAGTGGGATGACATGAGATGCTGCTGGGTTACGACATAATGGATTGCCTGTTTCAGTATGAGCCATTACAAAACCTCCACGAGCAGCTCGATCTGGATCTTCTGGCCATGAACATCGTTTCACAACCGCCAGGAACAGGTTCACATAAAACAGTATGTGAGACCGATTCTGTCCTGTAGATACAAATCAAAACATCCTTTATACTGACAGAACACTGTACTTACATAATTAAGTGATTCTGTTTAAACCACCGATTTGTATTTTGTCTATCGTTCAAGAATAATAGAACCACTATGTATCAGAAATTGGTTCAGTTTTTTCAGGCGTACAGGACATGAAAGAAAACCATAGGACTATTAGGGTCGCTAGTACAGCTACTCTCAAACAATGGACCAGATGAGTAACTCTATGAAGGGCCCAATGGAGTAAAAAGAAAGAAAAAAACAAGTAAAAGTAAAGGTATCCCTGTAACAGGCCATGGAGATCCATAGAGTTGTGAGACGTTGAGGTTTCCACATTTTCTAGACAATTGGCTCATAGATGACAGTAAGGGTGCCAGCCTTACGCACCGGCCATCCTTGACCCCCAGGAAGATCCTGGTATTCATTTCTGTTAGAGGCTGAGTCAAGCCCCAGGGCCATATGGAGTAGATATTCTTTTTTGTATCCTGTTCACAAAAAGATGGAAACAGGCCCAATGTCTGAAGTATAGCAGTTTTAATAAACTTTGGAAATGGAACACACAAGAACACAGTGAACAATGTGCTTTTAAATTAACTAATCTGACTGCATCAGGAAACAGTAAATTAAATGGAACATCGAGAAGTGAAAGCTGTCAGACGTAACCGAAGTCTCATAACGTCACTGTATTTGTACTTAAGATTATGAACCTGAGCGGTATTTATACTTTTTCCTATACAACAGCTATCAGAGAATAAAGCAGAAGCCATGTTGTTAGTTAGCATTTGACAAACTTAACTCAAGTTACATATTTTGCAATGCTATATTATCATACAATTCAAGACTTAATTTTCACTACTTCTAAACACAGTAATTATTTATTGTTACTGTACCAGTCAAAACTTGAAGCGAAGACAATTAAATCTATTACTATCAACATCAAATTACACTGCCAGTGGATACATATATATGGATACTAGAACTGACCATTCAGATCATCACTGCTGGGTTCTACTGGGGGACGATCAAGGCCAACGAATGTCATGAAGTCTCGGGGACTCTTGAATGCTTTAGAACTCAACATAATCCACTCCTCAGCACCAGAACCAATCACCTCACCGATGAACCTTGTCTGACGTTCATAGTCACAGAAATGGTTGCTGAGCAGAAGCAAAGCTTCCTATTTCACATTACAAGAAATTCCATAAGAAAACTCATGTTATAACAACTGCAATGATTTTTGTGGTGTTATTTAATGATGCTGTCGTGTATCTAAATTATATAGAACAGGATGACTATCAACTGGAAAGTATTTGGAAGGAAACAATCATACCCTAATTAAAATATCACCATGCATTTGTATGGAGGAACTGATGAAAACCATGAATAACTTCAGTCAGGTTAGTTGGTGCCCCAGCCAAGATCTGAACTGAGTACCTCCCTGGAGCATTACCTCTAGAATGATGTATTTTGTAACTGCAATGAATATGCCATTATACTACATACATTACATCAAGTGTATAAATGTTTCTTCAATTTCTGTCATACCACAGATATTTTGAATGCAGAATAGACATAATGGAAGAGGCAGTTTTGTGTATCTTTTGAAAATGTGGCCAAGTGCAAACATTATGGAATGACAATAAAGTACTAAAAATTATTCTTTCAAAGAAATTAAGAGCAGAACAAACTTGGAGGATGCTTTCTATTAATCAGTCTGGAATATTTTGTATTCCTGTCTTCTACCTAAAAACATATACATTACAACATACAAACTATAATTTTTATGTTGCTTATATGGGAGTGACATTTGACATTTCAACCTAATGGAGGAACAGATATTGAGGATGCTTAAGATTATTTGGGCCTAAGAGCAAGGATGTAACAGAAAGCCTGAGAACACTGCACTATAAAGAGCTTCACAATTTGTACTTTTCATCAAATAGTATTAAGGTGACCAAATCAATGAGGCTGAATGGATGAAGCATGTAGCATGCATGACATGAGAAATGCATACAAATTTTTGTTGGAAAACATTATGGGATGAGATCACGTGGGGTACACAGGATAATATTAGAATAGATCTCAGAGCAATCACATGACAGTGATGGTTGGATTCATCTAGCTCAAGACAGGCATAACATGGTTCTCTTCTAAACATGGCAAATAAATCCTAGGGTTACAAAGGCAGAACATTTCTTGATTAGCTGAGGGCCATTAACTTCTCACTCAAGTAAAACAATGCTTCATAGAGTTTGCTCATTCTGAGGGTGGTCTGAAAAGTAGGGTGCCACAAATTTTTATATAATGTCTTTTAATTGTAGTATTTTAGTATGGCAATCAAGGCATGTGTTTGTACTGTTTCGCAACACAACTGTCTTGCCTGTTAAGACATTCTTCCCATCGCACACTCACTCGTGGAGCTGGGCCCTTCTTGAGAAGCTGCCAATTGTGCAGCTACTCCAGAACTTCCCAGCATTTTATGGAACCCGAAGGTTCCTTACTGTGTTCACAAGAGCCCTCCAATGGCCCCTATCCTGAGCCAGATCAATCCAATTCATCCCCTCCTCTCTCTCCGAGATCCATTTTAATACTGTCCATCCACACACGTCTTGGTCTTCCCAGTGGTCTCTTTCCTTCTGGCTTTCCCACCAATATCATATATGCATTCCTCTTCTACCCCATTCGTGCTACATGACCTGCCCATCTCATCCTCCTTTGCTTAATCATTTTAATTATACTTGGAGAAGAGTAAAAGTTATGAAGCTCCTCATTATGCACTTTCCTCCAACCTCCTGTCACTTCATCTCTCTTCGGTACAAATATTCTCAACATCCTGTTCTCAAACACCCTCAGTCTATGTTGCTTCTTGTGATCTTTGGTAACAACATTATTTTGATGGTGAGGAGTTGTTACCCCCTTGTCCAACCCCCAAGATGGAGGACCACCTCTTGTTAACTGTCCACGACTGCATATTCAATATATTCCCAGTGACCCTCCATACCCAAAGGGCGTGTCCTCCATTTGCAACCTGAGGACGCACCATGACATGACGACATGGGACCCACCTAATATGGATTCTTCCTATCATCACATGAGTTTATACATTCCCTTGCAGTAAAAGTGTGGGCTCAACCCTGAAAACCAAAGATTGTTTTCATGCTGAACATCACATTTGTCTAAATGTTTCCAGAATGGTGCTGCTTTAAAGGTCCAAACAAATGAAAGTTGGATGGGGCCAAGTCTGGGCTGTGGGACAGATGCTCCGACACTTCCCACTGAATGCACTGCAACCACCTGTGTGGCAATCCCATGCAACACCACCACACTGTCATGAATCAATTATACCAAAAACAAATCTGTTTCTTTAACATCACATTCTCTCTACAGATATACACAAACTCTCAATGAAATTCACATGCTTTAGTTCCATTTCAAGCAGGCAATGAACTGGCGGATGGACTGCCATACTGGACCATGTCCTTAGTGGCACTGCCACTTTGATTGACTTGCTACATGTAAACAATGACCAGTAGCATTACCTCTTAGCAGTTTCATATTCAGTATTTTTGAATAAAATGTCTGCAGCATATAATTGTACTGCCTCACTTCTTGGACGTCCCTCACAGCTAGCTGACTAACATTTTGACTTTCAGCCCAACCATGCAAGAGAAATATAAATCTGGCCTTAACGACTTCTGACAAAAATAAGGGTCTTTCCTGAGCAATGTGCAGGCATTCCAGAGTTCATGAACTTACATAATGTTTGCTTTTATTACAACCCAGTTTATGACCAACCCACTGTTTGATGATCCATCTTAAATGTCCCTGTAACTATATGCCTCTAAAGTTTTCTAACCAAAATTTTGTAGATTTTGTCTCCCAGAAGAGATGGTAGCTGTATTGTGTGTAGAAAATCTATTGACAGCCAAAAGAGTTTAATCTTAATTTTGCTAACAACCCTTCCTCCACAATGAATTAGTCTGTTACTGACCTCTGACATTGTACACCAAAACTGTGAAATTAAATGCTCATGGTAAATACAATTACAAGCTTGCAGGAGAAATACAGAAACGAGCACACTATACCTGCAAAGTCACTCTCTCCAATCTTGAAAGCTGTTCTGGATCTTTGCTTAGTCCCTGAATTGTTGCATACACTTGATCAAATACAGGAAGCAAGAGCAGTGGATATTTCTGGGCGATTTTTACCATGAGACTGGCTGCATGCATACGAACATTCTTCACAACTCTACTGCGACTATCTTTCCCTTGACCTGGCTGAGTAAACACTAATGCTGCGAAGATTTTATCCAAAACTCGTGGAAGAAGATTGGCTGAACGCTCAGCTGTTGTCATGCTCAGAAATACAAACAATGCTGAGACACATGATAAAAGAGTGGATAGTAATAAGGGGTCTGATGGCTCGTAATTGAGGCAGATTTCTAGAAGTCGCAACCCGGAAGTCACACTTGGACGCTCTGATGGAACGAGGATCCGACTTAGAACACTCTCGAGTATCTAAAAACAAAAATTATCTATAGTGAAACCCCTCATCTAATACTTCTTGATTTAAGATTCTACCTCATTTAACAATCAATTTTAATGATCCAAAATCAATATTCTGTTAAACATGATCCATTTAAGATGTTTCTCAGTTTAATGTTTAAGTCTACTGTTCTCCAAACAAACCTTAAATTGGAGTTTCACTGCAAAATGTGTTAGTATATAATTACTATCACTTCATGTGCAAAATTTTACTAAAGAAAAGTTTTACACAGCCGAATCCATGTTTAATATAACATCCTCCCTCCTTTTGGGGTTTATTTCAATAATACCATACCAATTACATCAAACTTAATTTAATCTATTTCAGATTTACCATATTTCAGTTTTTACATATATAATCTCCCAGTCATTGAATTGAGTTTTCAATGCACATAACACAACTGAAAACAAAACCTCTGACTGTATATGTATGACTAAACAGTATTACCTGTGATAAGGCCTCCCACTCTAGATATGTTGGTGACTGGGAGTTACATTCAGTGCCTTGTTCTGCCATGGATTTTTGTATCCTGGTGGCCAACCATTGTTGTACATAAGAAAATGTTACTAATGGTGCTACTAATGTGGTTTGCCTAAACGTCTGAAGCAGTTCTGACCGGCATTGGTGGAAGAACTGCGCAAATTCCTCCTCACTATCATAATCTAGGCATGCATAAGCACCAGTTTCACGGATATTAGTGCACCGCGATGATGGATAACTGACCTAAAAAGACAACATGCTGATAATTTTCACATACAAGAAAATTAATACAAGTTCAAACAGAATATAGAATAGGGATATACAGCATCTATTTCAATAGGCTATTTCCTCAAATGAGATATTATCATTATTTTTGGACAACAGAACAAAAAATACGTTTTTAAACTGTGAACTAGACATGTGAAAAACTGGGTTTCAATTTGAGATGAAAACGAGAACTTCCTCTACTGGACGATATTCTTTCACTGTAATCACAATCTATAACATTAACCATTTTTCATAACGCATTAAAGTGTAATACTTATTCCTTTCATTATCAGATAATTTATTTACCCAAATTTGTCATAAATCATTGTATTAAACAAATTGAATTCTGGGGCCATGTTGGCAGAAAGAGGAAGAGTGACAAATTTTGTCGACAGATACTTCATGCCAGGATTACCAACCATTATCTTTCTGATCACTCAAGCAGTGTGCGTGTTACTGCGCAAACCAGCGGCAGTTATCTGAAAATTCTTGGATTTCAAGACTAAAAAGTTGGTGTTTGGAGTGAGACTGAAGCATTCTTCTTCTTCTTGGTTTGATCTAGAAAATCTGAAACTTGCATGTGCTTCCTATGAATACATCTCAGGCATGCACATATTCTGGCATGTGTTCCAATTTGTTAATGGCCAAAATGTCTGAACTACCACTGTCTGTCTGATTTGATCCTCACATGAAGCATAACCCTTGATGGGTCCCCACTTTGTTTTGCTGATAAAATACTTCATACATCTTCAGTTCTCATCGGATTTTGTCTAAACACACAACCTTCAAGTAATGCATCACAGATAAACAGCTCACTCATAAATGGTATAACAAATGACTTGATATCAGTTCAGAAATCTTCACAAAACATCTATTTGAAACTAAATTTCTGTTGTAGTCAGGACACAAAGAACAGTAATCAGAAATTCATTATCATCTTATGACGCTGTTACTACTACAACAAGTTAACAATCTGTGTGGAATCTATTCTCTTCAGGATGACTACTCAGTATTTTTACAGCTACATTTTCAGAAAAGGGAAGTCTGATATTCTTGAAGTAACACAGTGGACTTTTATTCAGATTGTTTTAGATGTGACTCAACACTGAAATCTCAGTACACAATTTTCTATGAATTATGGCAACATTATGGGTGTTTTCAATTTTACAAAAATTTCTTGCATATTATGTTATAAAGAACATAACCTTCAAAACTTAATTTCACCCTGAGTCACAGATACGTACCCTTGTAATCTTGGGAGCAGTGCATTCCACCCATTTTGGAATAAATGTACGGAAAACTTTGTCTTTAGAGATCTGCTCATGTTTGAAGAATGACATCCACAGTGAATTTGCATAATAAACCAAAGTAAGACTGGGATGCCGACTAAATGTCAGAATAGCATCTAAGTAAGTGGAAAAATGAGGTGGACGAACATTCAGTCCATCGTCTTTGCCCCATAGCATGCAAAGTTGTGTTCCAAGTCCTGTCAATACCTGCAACAAAAAATGTAAACTCAATACGTATTAGTAGCACTTTAACTTAAACAATGTTCACCAGTGCTGTCATATGTAATCATGCTTCAAACATTTTTAGTATTTAATTTAAAATATGTTCACCAGTGTTATTGTATGTAATTACACTTCAAACAATTCTAGCACTTAAAGATGTTCATTATTAGTTCCTTTAAATTCCCACTCAATATGAAGTGTTACAGAGTCTTATCAAGTTCATTTCATACTTTATTTCTCAAAAGTAAACATGAAGAACCTTTCTGAGAATATCTAGTATATTGGTGAACTCAGCAAACATCAATTTTCAATTATTTCTTTGCTATCAGATAGACAAAATGCTACACAGGAAATTCTGTAATGGTGGAGGCAGAGCACTTGAAGACACATCTCTACTTGAAATGATTCTGTGAACAAAGTACATGAATATCTAGCATTAACAGAAGTACAGTCAAACTCAGTTATAACATCATACAAGGGACTTGAGAAATTCATCATAAATGAGCATCACACTAACCAACGAAGGAATTAAATCAGGGTTCCAGAAGAAATACACAGAACATTTTGAAGAGCATTAAAATTCACTTTGAATGTAAACTAGATATCACACTAACAAATTATAGCTTTAATGATGTGCACACATTACTTGAATATTAAATTAATATTTTCTGAGGGTACTGAAAAGTTAGGGTATTCACACACACTAAGTATCGTTTTAATAGGATCACTGACACAGGGAATATGAGAAAGTCCTGTTATATTTTTCACTGCATATGCAAAGAAGTGGGGTGAGAACTAGTTGTCATTATAAATGAAATGGTGATCAAAATTACTGTGTTTCTTGACACTACCTATTGTCCTGTTTTTATTTAAAACACACATCAGAGACTGGATGCTGTCTCCGTTTTCAGGTGGAAACCACTTAGTAGGGAGCATTCGATAGAGCCAGTCCCTATCCCTGGGCACCAACACAAGATAGGATACATAAATCAAGCAAAGCACAAACCCAGCTGCAAGATTATGGGGGGGGGGGGGAACACTCTACATGCTCCTATGCCAAGCCACTATTTAAAGGTTATTGTCCTTGAAATCAAAGTACCGTCAAAATAGAAATTATCACTAAAGATATGAATTCTCTGTATGGTACCAATATAAAAATTCAGTTTTCACATGTAATTTTCTGGCTTCTGCTGCGATAATGGGAATCCAGGTGGGAGAGATGTCCAAGCTGGGTTTGACTGATCGGATGATCTACCAGACACATGTAGGCTGATTCCTTGTACTTCCTGTGTGTGGTGCTTGGTTCAATCTGAAAGACACTTACTTCTTTCCAGCATATTTTGTGGCCTTCAAAAGCATTTTGGACTAATTTTTATTTTTCAGGCAGGCCTTGGGCCAGGTTATATTTGTGCTCTGTAATGTGTACTTCTAAATGTCTGCTTGGTTCACAGATGTAACATCTGTTACAATTCATACATGTCTAAGAGAGGTGGAAAAGCATGTGTTGTATGGAGGTGTAATTAGTACCACTCAATGTTATACACACTATAGCCAAGATTTCCTTACAACTAACATTGCTATAACAAAGTTCAATTGTATAGTGCCCCTTAAGAAAATCATACTTATGTTTGGTAATTAAGCACTCACCAATGTCAGCCTCTTTAAGAAGTGATAGTGGCGTTCATCAAGCGATTTACTTGATGCAACATCAGCAGCCTTAAAAATAGACCTCATCACTTCTGCACTGAACAATACCAACAGTGGCATGCGCTCTTCTACTCGACCCTTCCGACTGACTACCTGCTCGCAAAAGTATATTGTGTGAAGAAAGTGTCTACATATCGGATCATTTTGTACATTTATTACAGGAAGCAAGTAAGAGGACAACACAAAACAAAAGTTAATGTTTATTGCAGAAAGCAAGTAAGAGGACAACACAAAACAAAAGTTAATCATTTGTTTGCATGATCATTCTAAATTTCAGAGATCAAGCCAAAGAAAAATGTCTGAAATATGATTTGCATCAATTTTACAAAATTTCCCACTATAAAAAATAGACACTTTTGATGTTTCATAGAAACCAAAATATTACTGATATAGCCAAAATACTTACATGGTTTTTCAGTATATGTCTTTAAGTTTGTATGACACACCGCTCAACAGACCAGAGCATGGCACTGACATGTTGGTCCCCAAGAAGTCCGGAACTAACACTTCCTGATCTTTTATTGTGGGAATATATAAAAGACAGAGTTTTGCTCCTCCACTTCCTGTAATTGTAAACGATCTACAGCAATGCATCACAACAGATGCTGTGAGTGTCTTGACGAGGACATGCTCCTGTGTGTTTGGAATGAATTGCATTGTCGTATTGATATCTGTTGTGTGACAAAAGGCTCACACATAGAACACTTGTAACTTAGTCATATAAACTTAAAGACATATACCAAAAAAAAAACCTTTATTTTGGCTATATCAATAATACTTTGGTTTCTATAAAACATTGAAAGTGTCTATTTCTTTCATAGTAACTCAGTATAACAACAGAGTGACCTGACTTAATAATTGTTAAGGCAAGGTAAGAATAACCTCACCCCAACCTCCGGGTGACAACATTTCAGAGTCATGCCGATGATGAAGTTGACTAACAGAAGAATCTGTCCTTTAATACTCCAAGTATGTGTATGTGTGTACGTCAGCTCTTTTCCTGTGTTTATGTGTTTCAGAATTCTCAATTTTACATATAAGTAGCACTGTTATGGTAATCACCAGAAAACATGTAAAATGAAGACAACATGGGTGCCACCAAAATATTATTTTTTCTTGTGGGGGGGGGGAGGTTATTGCAAACTTATGTTTAATTAACAGATTTAAAACTACATTTACTGATGGCCCTACAATATCCAGGAAAGAATAATTGAAAAAGAATTAGTTTGCTTCTTGAAATTTCAAGTTTTTCAAATATCTGTGGCGGAGAGAGGCTGATGCCTCTTTGGGGTCCCATAAAAGGTAGATCAATTATGCTGCATGCAGTTAGTTTATGGTGATGGTTTAAAAAAAGTCCAAAATCCCATTATCCTGATTACATTGACGGTTTAAAGCTCACATATATTGTATGTCCACTTTACATGAATTCTGAATCACTGTATGCTCATGTTTCTTAAATAAACTAACTTTGTTCTGTACATACATTGCAGGAGGGGAAAAAGGAACAAGAAATATTCTTTTACTTTATTTTAAGTGTATTAATTTAAGTATGTCATATCAGAATGTTGTGTTGGTGAATCTTGCATATGAATTTGCCATAAATTATGTATACTGGGCATATACTAGTTGTCATATAAGCCATAAGTATATTCTTTTCATGTCACATTCTGATATCTCTGTATGAACACCTGAAGCTACATAATCTCTGTAGTCGATAGAGTGCCATGAAATAACCAATCAACCAACACTTGGAACAACTAACACTGTAAATATGCTTAACAGAGGGGCACTCAAGTCCTCATGAAATTGACAAAATATTTCATAACAGCTTAAAAATGAACACAATTCTTATGTTTACTCTGTAATCACAAATGCATAGTTCAGTCAATTTCCAGAACAATTAGTGCTAAGAAGCCATCCACCATAAACACAAGTGGTGCTGCATTTTTAATGAACATGTACAGTTCCAAATATACTTCAGAAGAAATAAGTCACAACCTGAAGCAGACACTCCACAGCTCCAGCTTGAAACCTCTCATCTTCCAGAAGAAGGCAGAGTATCTGTACAAGCCGTCCATCATTGGCCATGATGTGATTGATGGAAACCCATTCAATAAAGCCAGTGAGTGTCAGAAGTACAACCTGCACTACACGTGCATGCATTTTCAACTCTGATTCCTGACTCTCTTCATGCAGTCTTTTAATGGCATGAAAATGTTCAAGAATAAGGTGGCGAAAGAAAGCAAATATTTCTCCCATGTTGGCTGTGAGTGCTTGGTAGATGTCTCGACGACGCTGGTGTGATTCCAAGGTCTGAAACAGTAACCTTTTAAGAACAAGTACTTTTATCATTGGTTCAACATTATAAATTATGACAACACCAAATCATGTCTCAATGCTATAGTCTTCTATACTATGTCTCAACTGAAATAAGATTGTAGTTGCCCAGGCATGAGTAGCCACAACTGATACACCTATAAATGTACTCCTACAGCTGCTGCTGCCAGGGCTGCAATCACACCATTACGGCCATTGCCACTATTGCCAACATCTGCCACACTGCACTATTACGGGCACTGTTTGGTGTGGACTGTCCAGTGTGGCTACAAACCTTCTAATATCACTACTATGAAAGCACCAGACATGCCTGCATCAGAAACACTGTAGCAGATTATGCATACAAATACCTACAAGGTACAAGACAGAAACCAGTACATAGTGAATCATGACGTCCTATGGATAAAGTACGTTAGTCACCAGTGGCCATTCTACTGCCCAGGCAGTTTCATGCTGGCTCTCACAGGAGATATCAGGAAGCCTTCATGCAAGATTCACGGTGGCTGGAATGGCAATGAAGCAGGTTTCTCTCCTAGTCTCTTTGGTTTTTCCTTTCTAATCATTCCATTTCTCCACACTCATTACTAGATAATGAAGTTCTTCCAAGTTAATCGTCAGGGCTTACTACGTTTATTAACAGATGAAGGTACCACCAGTACACCATAATTACCTGTAGTAGAGCTACATCCTCTGCTAGTCTTAGGAATACAAAAAGAACCAATTCTGTCTGACTCCCACCGTGTGTGCACGCATTCTGAAGCTCAGCTAATAATGATGACCACTGCTGTGGCCATTCTCTCTTGATCATTTCCACAATAACTCTTGACAAAGCATCCTTGATATGTACAAGTTCTTGCAACTGTGGTTCTATGCCTCTCTCCAGGAGTTTCATTGCATTTTCCTAGAAGATACATGCAAATTTAAAATTCAAGCTAAACAGAACCTGATGTGGAAATTTTATTCTTCCATATCTGAATTTTCAGCAGTATGGCTACGTGACAGGAACTGGGATAGCGTAGTTGGTATAGTGACTGGCTACGGGCTGGATGACCAAGGGGTTGGAGTTCAAGTCCTAGTAGGGTCAAGAATTTTCTTTTCTCCATGTTGTCCAGCCCAACTCTGGGTTCCATCCAACCTCCTATCCAATGGGTACTGGGGGCTTTTTCCCAGGGGTAAAGTGATTGGGGTGTGAAGCTAACCGCTCATCTCCAACTACTGCAGAGGTCAAGAAAATATGGATTTATACATCCACTCCCCCATACACCTTCATGGCATAGTGATTAATTAGTTAAGCACAGGGACCTACCTCTACTTTTATGGGTATATGAAAAAATCACAACCACCTACAGTGCTGGCTTAAAAAGATGAATTCATTTTATAAAAATCTAACAGATGCTAGCAGAAGTTTGTATTGTATTGAAAACTACTTGGTTAACCAGAAGAATAATTAATTTCATTTATATGGAATTTACAATGAATTCAACTGTCTTTTTTTTTATCTCAAAATAAAACTATGATAAATATTTATACTATTCCAGTCACAACAAGTTTTGGCCCAAACAGATCATCACCAGGTGGTCTGTGAGAAAAACACAACCAATAACAAAATACATATCAGAAACAGGATGCAGCATTACAAGAGAATTATGAAGCCTGATACATTTCATGCCCCTTGCATCTGGCACCCAGTGGCGAAATAAATTTTGGCACTTGATTACTTTAATTCTTACCACCCCTCACTCAGGTTTTCCTACCATGAACTGTAATCAGGTAATGAAAATTTTTATTCATTATGACAATGTTATGAATATACGTTTTGATTTGTTTCATTTCATTTAATTGAAATAAGAAAAATCTTCACCAGGCACACTAGACAGAACTGTCTAACTTTTCACGTTATGAATATACTTTTACAACAGTGCTAACATCTATTCTACATCTCTTAACAATGTCAGTGTGCATATAACATCTGAGAGTGATCAAGTACCATTTCTCTTTGCCTATCACAACAAAAGAAGGCAATGACACACACAGTATATGTCACAAAAGGATTTGGTTTATTATGTCACTATAGTTCATCTGGGCAAAACTTACACCATTTTGTTTTCTTCACCACCTCCCATCTTCTTGACTTTTTTAGATTCTTGGCTCTCTCTTCCATGACTCAGTCCACAAGTGAACTATACTGACTGAGCGGCTGCCACATGTCGGCGAAGTTAGTGCCAACTTTGGCGAACACAGGGTGTTGCGTGGTCAGCGCAATGAATCGCCAAGGCCATTAATCTCGGTTTTCTAAACCCGAGCCACTATTTCTTTGAAATAGCTCCTCATTTATCCTCACACGGCTGAGTTGACCCCTTTCCATACTCACTACTTCTCAGGAAATCTGGTAGCACCAGGAATAGAACCCAGACCTCTGGATCTGTAGTCAGGAACTCTGACCACTAGACCACAGAGGCAGTTTCAGATGAACTAATTTGTTATCTTGGTGGGCTGTGAGTAAAACACAGATTACTTCATGTGTGACTATAAACACCTAGTAGTTTTCAATGCAACTGCTGCATGACAGTTTGTACGGCTGTTGTGTGTAGGACACAAATGGGATACTGAGGAAGGGGATATTAGAGGATCATGTAGGTGACAAGGTAAACAGAAGTGAGGCAGCCAAATCCATTCCTACAGTTTATTCAATCATGGAAGAACTAATCATCTACTTTCCTTTTGCTACAATTTGAGTACTTTGTATGACAAGCAGAAACAATTTTTGTATGTTCAGGCAATCTAGTAATATCAGGGTTATTATCACAACTATCTGAGAGGCTTCTGTGTAGGTATTACTGATGGGAAGGATTTATGAAGTATGCTGTTGAGACAGCCTCAGATACATACCAAGTTTCATAATGCAGGTAGTTGCTTGGGGCATACACATATAGACATAAACACATACATAAACAACAAGGTGATTTCATAAGCCTACTTCTATTTTTTTCAAAATCATGAGAGTAGGCTATTAAAAGAACCAAACCTTACACCACACTAGATACCATTAAAATTTCATGGATCAAAAATTAACATTCTTAGCAAATTATTTTTGCTACCAACTGAAAGTTCATGCGGTGCATTTTCACAAGACAATAAGGTATACTAGTTGAATTTTGTTAATTAAAATGCTTAAGTGTATCAAGCACCATCTGCCAGTCCTAGTAAATTAAGTGACATGGAAAGGCTTCATAATTCTTAGATTAACACAGTTGTTTTCATTTCAGCATTACCAGATAAAGATTTTGAATAATCAGAACTTAATTTACAAAACACGATAACTAGCTTCGTTGTTATATTAACGATAAAGTGTGAGTTTTCATAAGATATGGCAAGCAAACTCAACCAGCGAAATTCAAATCAAACGAAATCAAGAACTAGAAAAAAATGAGATCAAACCCTTGCTCTCTGATGTGTTGGTAGGAGACGCGTATCACATTCAGCACAGATTGCTTTAATTTGCATTCAACAAGTCTGTAAATCAAGCTGTAATTTCCCGTGTGCAACAACATACTAACTGGCAGTACTGGAATTTAAAACCCTGCAAATGTAAACGGCCAACTAATGATCGTGGGAGGTTTATCCGCCTGCATATAACTAATTTTGAATTAAATCTACCTTAATAAACAACTTCTCTTGTTGTGACATCTGGTTCCATCGAAACTTAACACAATGCTCCATCAACTGCAGTCCGAAATGGCGCACAAAATGAGACAAGTTACTCTGTTGTGCTAGATACAGTCCGCACTGTACACATAACGGAGATGTTTCTTTAAACCGCTCACATGCCGTATATGCTTCCATTCTCTGCTGCTGCGGTAAACATGGATCCATCGTTAGCTCGACAGCACGAGCCAGTTCTTCAGCAACTTTTGCAATGTCAGCCATAACCATAAATGAAACCAATTCCCAAATGCCGGCAAAAAAATCGTCCCTTCTTACATTTCAGTTAAAAACACCCAAAACGTTAACGGGATTTATTTATGCACCAAAAACATTATGAACTGAAATCTGATATTTATGTACTAACTGTTAATAGCGGTTAATAGCACAATTCCTGCGCTTAAAGTATCGTTCACAAACAACAAATCAATCTACCAACAAATATATCACAGAGTACGGCACATACTTTGCCTGCTCTGTTGCCACATTCAGAACCTGCAAGTATAATTCTCTCTGGTATTGTGGAAGGATGCTGTTTATCACCAATTCTGTTCAACTTGTACAGCGAATNAACTGTGTACAATTGTATATGATAATGCACAGTACAACACTGAAGGCCACAGTGCTAGGCGCGGTTGTTATGACCCATCCCTTATACGTACAATGTATACAATAACTATGATACCCGTGAACTATAATCTGCACCTACATTTCAGAAACTTTGTTTTTTTTTCGTGGTAGCTACCTACATTTAATGTCACCAGGTTGCCGGATTGCATGATTCCAACCAGGGGGTGGAATCTTGAATAGGGGAAAGGGCAACACGGTAACTACTGCCTCTACGAATGTCTGCAGTAACTACACGCAGGTCTCGACCAATCAGAGAGCCTAAACAAACCAATTTGAATACCCATAATTACTTGCGGTTATCGTGGTGCA